CAAAAGACAGTTCTGAGAATTGGAAGTACATCAAGACCATCATTTATCCCCTGGTTGATGGTTTTCTTAATTTCCAAGACACTTGACAATTTATGCACGCTATGGCAAAGGTACATTAAGTTGAAAAAGTATAACAGTACTTGACAACAGAAGTATGAAACTACCATTTACTCATCTGAAATAATAAGATGTTTCCCATGGCTGCCTGACACGTCATTCTGCACACTTTGATCCAGTACAGCATTAAACCACGGCTCAACCTGGAAAATAGAAAAACACCAACAAACAAACCAAATCCTTACTGAACTTTTAGTACAGGCTTGGGTACTTCCAGAAATGCCCTAGAAAACCAATGGACAAATGTCACAGTGATTTTCGATTCGCGCGAATAAAAGCGTTGCAAAGTCTTTAAAGTGCTTACGAATAAAAACTCACCTTCATGGAATGGATTAACAAAACAAACCCACTGCTACATCTAGTTGAGCTCCAGAGTGGCTGGACAGAATCTCAAAGCACATACGCTGCAACTAAAACAGTTAGAGAAAACATGTTACCATTGTCTCTGTCATCAGTAAAGTATTTTCAAATAATTTAGCTCAATTTACCAAATTTTATTTGGACATCCAGCGAAGTGTCAAAAATCCTTATCGCCCCTTCAGACTGGTTCAGACTATTGTCCAACACCATATAATTGCAGGGGGTTATCAACAAGACAGGGGTATAAAAATCCAAAAACAACACAATTACTTAACTTAAATTGAAGTGGAGGCTTGCATCGCTAAGAATCTGACGTCCAGAGTAAATTGTTTTGCTGAAAGAGACTGCTCCAACACAATTTCTTTGGACACGTCTCTGTTGCTCTGTTCCGCTGGATCGTGAAAACAACAAGAAACAATACTTAAGGCCATTTTTATTTTAAGCTTAGCAAAACGTTGTTAGCCGCTAATGAAATTTTTTCATTGTTATTATCTATCTCCTGGGCAGGCAAGGATCTATACAAACCATGCTGCTTATGATATAAGCTTACATGAAAAATGAAATATTAAAACCTTTTAACTCAGATTCATTCAATCAATAAATTTAAGCTAACGTCCAGAGCTTTTGTGGTATAGTTTTTAGTTTCTGGGTTAATGAATCTTGCATAATTTAGTTTAAAACCGCTTGAATTCGAAAGCGGTAATTCCCATCATAAGGACACAATTACTGTTTTTATGGCCATGTTTGTACCTGATTCAAAATTTCAGAGGAAATTCGGAGGGAACAAGCAAAAGCCTGAAAGCCTGGTGTGTGACTACAAAGTCCTACTGTGAAATCTTGCTTTTGATTCATTAGCCAATATATACCTGACATACGTTCCTCCTTCATGTCTGGTTTGAAGCGCATTTTCAAACCGTTGCTGTCGGGAAGGAGAACTGAAGTGACAGCAACAGTGCAGTAAATCCAAAATCTGAGGCGACACTGGCACGGTGACTACAAAAGAAGCACGAAACAAAAAATACATAAACATCAGCTACCTGCAATACTTACTCGCTCGGAATATAATTTTTTAAGCAATTGCAAATAGGGCTATGGAAACTGGCAGAGTTTAGATGAAGCTGCTTAGAAACTTGAAATTTCATTTCGTCATCATCTCAGAGCAATGCGGTTTGACCGTCAAAGTTCTCATTTAAACAAGAATGAAAATAAAATTTCATTTTAACCGACTGGTCGCACTTGGCAGGGAAACAAGCAGAGTCATGCAACAATTGCTCACTAGAAAAAAGTACTTGCTAACCCAGTATTCCAACAACCTGCAACAACTTACTTTTGACGATTCCCGCGACCCGAGCGAAGGGCAACTCGCAGTGAACTTCACGGCGTGGTCACAAGTCCGTTTAGGGGCCAAAATTGGAAGGCTAACGAAATTTAGAAATGAAACTAAAGCTAAATAACAATTAAATGAATAGAAATGATACAAACAAGATCAGGAAAATATAAACTTATCTCAAGGAAGAACATGAAAGATGTCCGCAGCTTCGCTTCACAGTACAACGATGAACAAAATTTAAACTAAGGGTGTGTCATTTGACGCCTCTTTATATACTTGATTAAAATTCATTCCACGCTGCTTCGAGAAAAATTTTGAATCAAACAGATCTAGAATGCATTATAAGGCGTCTTCGGAATTTCTTCATTAAAATGTTTTAGCCTTTAATCACTTCAACAATGCCTTGAGAAAAGCACGCACTCCGATTATATCATCAACACGGAATGCTATTTTTTGTTGGAATAAGCGCGTCGCTGACTTTTTGTTTGCAAGCTTTTAACATCAGGGTATATTTAAAATTCTCCTATTGAATGGATTCTTATTAATTTTTTTCTCAAGGAAAGCAAACGAATGATTATTACTGTAATACGATTTAATAGATGCAAAAGTTCTGAACGTTGAACATTTTGTTTTATAGCCCTCATGATCAGCTAACTTCAGTACTTGAAACGGTTGCAGTATTCAGATATCAGAAAACGTACTGCGCATCTTTCTGCGCGGTACGTGAGGATGTCGCTCGGTTGATCTTCTTATTTGAGCAAGCATGAATTTTTGTTCGACATTTCACTGTTAAGAAAACAATGCTCCCCCTGCCTGCTCAGAGGTTCTCTCGCTTACTGATATATTCAGTGGTACGCTTATATATGGATGCATAGGATTTTGTTTTAGGTGCTATGCCGTAATTACAGATCTTGTATTCCAGGTGCTAAGATGTTTTCATTTTCAGACAAACAATCCGTAAGCTGTCCCTAGAGCACGGCATCTTAATTGATATTAGTTCGTTAAAATTTTCGGCGTTTCAATCCAAACGCCGACATTGCTTTAGACAGTCCTTGTATATTTTTTTTTCCTTTATTTACTCTCATCCTACTCATTGTATGCTAGCTTATGCTCCCTGTGGTACTATATGTTATCCATGCTAAAGCATGAACGGGAGAGTGCAGGGTGCGGTAGTCGCTGGTGTAGCGGTCCATCGCACCGCATTTGCACCTCAATCAACATGAAGGAGAAAACGTGAACAAATAAACCTTCAGGCATCTTTCCAGCAGCACTACATGGTACAGGAATGCTTGCATGGGTAATCCACAGACACAAAGCTCAGTCAACCACATTTCTGCACATTTTATTTACTTTCAAGTCACAACCAGGTGAACCAGCATAAAAGCAATTATGTATTAAATCTGTTAATTTTGTACAAATTAAAAAAAATTGTTAAAAAAGACCAAACGCACAGAAAGTACAAATCTAACTGAGTGATGTATGCAAGTCCTGGTTTTGTTTAAAACCTGTCAAGAATACAATATCTTTCAAGGTAAAAATTTCGTTTCAAGTGAGTAGCAATTCATTAATAGGGAATTTAAGAAAACTATAATGGCAACGCCAGTACAATTGCCACGCACGTGCATTATAATTCTTGGCAATTTTGTTTTCGTCGTCCTCTGCAAAACAACAACGTGAAATGACCAAATTCTGCGTTGCAAAGAGAACTGAGGTGAACAGCGACGGTTAACTTTTTAAATTTCTATTTCCAATTTAGCATAGTGTTTAAATTTAGCATATGTTTAAATTCGTGCGTGGTTACTAACTTATGATTGAAGGACATCTCAGAGTCATTAACAAAACAGTAAAAATCCTCCTCACATTGTAAGTGTCACAGTTTTAGAATGAGGTTCTAATTTCAAGCAAATAAGTTATTTACAATTGTTAAATTAAATTTCTAGAACCAAGTCAGACTGTCCAAATTGTATTACACTGTAACAAAATTATAAAGGGCACCCGATTAGTCCAAAATTGTTACATCACCGTAACTTCTTATATGATGATATATTATTAAATTTGAAAATATATGTTCCAACTCAGCTTCAGTGGACATAAAAATGATCTAAATATCTGTTGTATTCCATTTAACATTGTATTCCATGTAACATTTCTATTAGTTACCAAAAAACTTCACTTTCAATTGACCCATAAATTATAAAACTTTTAAAAGTTCTAAATTTTCTCCATTTACCATGTTTGCAATGTTCTAACAGAAAACCAGCAACAGACCAACTGACCAACCGACAAGAAAATCAATAACAGAATTGTAATTATTATTAAAAGCATATTAATTTTGTATGAATCGTTTTTATGTCCGTGGTTGCCTTGCTTGTTGCTCTGCAGTTATTTTCTCTGTTGCAGCTTTACGCAGTTCCTTTATCCATCTTCTTGAAAAGGAGCCAGGAATCTCAAAAGCATGCTAAGAAAAGAAATCAAAAGCAAACAGAACTTAAAAACTGCTTCTCCAGTCAAGAAAATTTCATGTTTCTCCGCTTTACATTTGTGACAGATGTTTTCCAATTGTTATAGAAGACAGCTGTTGTTAGATTTAAGGCACTGAGACAAAAACAAAGTAAGTTTGCTCTTTCATTTCAGTTTTTATTTTTTTCGTTTGTCTTAATTTGTTTTCTTGAGCATCTCTGCCTAAATATATTTAATTTGTATGTCCAGTAAGAAAATTCTCAACTTCCTAGTCCCCTTCCTTCACATACCAACCCCTCCCCTCTCAAATAGGAGTTGGCTGAAACTCAGGTCTTACCCCAGGCTGAACCATTATTGATTTTACTCTCTGATTGTCATTCAATCTGAGAATTTTATATTGAAAAGAGAAAATATCATTTAGTTGATGCATTGTAAATATAGACTTGTCATAAGTCTGCTTGACAATTCTTGATGCTGTCTGTAACAGTCAACACAATATAAGAGTACAGCACTTAGCCCTTTCTTAAAATACAATGTTTGTTGCTTGATATGGAAAAAGCAAACATAAATTGTTTTTGCATGTGAAACAATGGGCAACTAAACTTGGCAAAGGAATATGCTAAATCAATTGTAAGCACCTTGGGCAAATAATGGGTGTGTGTGCTTTACAAATGAACTATTACAATTATTATTATTCATTATCATCATTACGGCAAATAATGGATGTGTGCACTATATAAACGAACTATTACAATTATTATTATTCATTATCATCATTACGGCAAATAATGGATGTGTGCACTATATAAACAAACTATTACAATTATTATTATTCATTATCATCATTACGGCAAATAATGGATGTGTGCACTATATAAACAAACTATTACAATTATTATTATTCATTATCATCATTACGGCAAATAATGGATGTGTGCACTATATAAACAAACTATTACAATTATTATTATTCATTATCATCATTACCTCCATGAATCTGTGACAGTCCATTGTTGAAGGTCCTTGAGTTATTTCCTAACAGTTAACAAAAGGAAATATTCAAAATTAATGTAGCGTTTACATGTGCCAAGGACCACAAACCAAGTCTCCCCTTCAGGGAAGTGTCCCAGTGTTGTGTGACTAGATGTCTCAAAAGTTAAGGCTTGAATTCATTCAAGAAATCCTTAACACCAAATTTCTGATCAGAATAGGGAGTTAAAGCAAATCACAATCATAATGCTACAAGCATTACAAGGCCGACACATTTCATGATGATATTGCAAAAGCACCGTGGTCAATAGTTGATGTTTTTGATGAGGTCGAGGATAAGCTTCACGTATTCAATCTGCTTTT